ATTTTTTTACGTCTCATTTTGTTCTTTTAAAAGTTATTTTAATTTGTCTTACTGTAATTATAGTTGTTGTGACCTTTCTAATTAAAATTAAACTCCAAAAAGTTTGATTAACTTGAAATAATTATGTATCATGAATATAAAAGATAATAAATTAAAGTTTAGTAAAATAAAATAAAAAAATTATTATTTAAAAATATTTTAAGAAAAAAATAATAATGAAATTAAAAAAATATTGTTTGGAATCGCTCGGAGTGGGGACCGAACCTGGGTGCTACTGCGTTTACTGCTTTAACAGCAAAAACGAAACTTAGAAACTCATTTTACCTTTTTAAAATCACGTTCTCCTAATTTTAAAGCTAAAACCCTGTTTTTGCTTTAAAATGCATTTTAAGTTGACTTTGACAGAGTTAAAATGGTGATTACTATAAAACACAATTTTAATCGTTAACAACTTTTTCTAACTTCTCTATGACTACGGGCCACTCCCTGTAGCGAAACGAACTAGGGCGGAACTGGTTCGGTTCTAGTGCGTTTGGAACCATGACAAGTACGCGTTAATTCTCTTTTGCATGCTATACAAAGCTATGCATAGCTATGTTAGCTTTACAAAAAATGTATATTACTTAAATGTTCTAAACACTTAATTTTGTTTTAATTTTGCCTATGGGACAAAGCACTGTGCGCTGTTCAATTTCGGTTGGTCCCATACGAGTTGTATGTATGTGCATGAGAAATTTTTGACAGTAAATTTCCGGCGTGCGCGAATATTAGGTTGGACTGTAAAGCCTATTAAATTAATCCATAAATCCATCCATCAGATCCACACCACCCATATAATTGATATATTCCTTTATTATTTGTGGGCAATCTACTTCGACATATTCCTTTCGTTTACGATCGTAACGCGCTGCTTTATTTGGGGGTATTGAAGAATTATTCTTCAAAAACGGCATGACACCAACGTATGTCGATGCAAGTCGCACCCTTTGGTTGTCCTTCCATGACACAGTTGCCATATCTACACCATATGCTGTGCTAACGAACTCAACGGAATATCCTGTTTTAGCGTCTTTATACTCTTTCTCTCTTTGATTTGGCTACTTAAGAGTTGAGAATTCGATTAGAACGAATAGTGCCCAGATTAAAAATTTAGCTTTAATTTAAAACAAATGTTCCAAATTTCCGAGCTCTAGTTGATTAATAAATTCGGTATGAACCACGCACTTTTTTATTAATGTCGATGTTGGTTCTGCGCAAAGATACAGTGGATGGCGTAGCTGAAGTTATATGCACAATAAATGTTGTATACCTTTTACAGTTGCCTCTTCTCCGGCAACACAGAAAATAGAACCTAATGAGAAATTATAATCCCTAAGCGCGGCCGAAGGCAGAAGCAAGCGCAACCAGGTGGTTGACTAACAAAATGCATTATTTCAATGGCTTGGAAGCAGCTGTTATTGCATTAACTGGATTGAGAACAAGTTCTTCAGGCATAGGAGGAATTATAGCTTGCGGCTCAACAATTAAACCAGAAGCTGACATAGACATTGACAGCTGACATTGTTGCTATGCCCGACAGCTCCGCATACCTTTATGAGTCCATTGCCATAGCGAGGTCTTACTGCGCTACTATAATTGCAAATGCATCTGAATCCATAATTTTCATCAAAATATGTAAAATCAACAAATTTTAAAATAAATGAGCACATGGTAAGTGTTTCTTTAATTCCTTTCCATTTTGTTTTCTGTCATACAGCTGAATTTGAAAAACAACTGATATCTGGCAATGCTGCACATCTTTCCGCAAGGCTTGTTGCAGGCCGATTTTTCGTTTTTCGTAACGTAGCTACGAATTACGAATTACGAAAATTCGGATTCTAGAATAAGGGTGTATGTCTCTGAAACTGAAAATACAGTATTGATATTTTCTTGGCGTGCAGCACGGTTTGTTTCCGAGACAATGAGGTTGACTATTTCAGTTGATAAAAAGCACTTGAAGCACTGGGAAAGCGTTTATAAAGTTTTTATAGATTGTGGTGGGGAACTATTTCCTCGAAAGGTCACTTCATTGATATGCAACTAACTGTAGTGACTTTTTTCCCACAAAATTTGTTGAAATTCTTTGACATCGATGTCGGTTAAATTTTTACCGCTGAAGACGCAATGAGAGGGAGTGCATGTAGGGCCATCAATTTCTATTTCGGGTAACGGAGATCGGTGTCGTTTGTTTGGTTTGAAAGATGCTCCGCTATGGTAGAAGCTGGTTCTTCTAATATAAAAATAAAATTTAAATTCAGTATTAAAATTAGCTTGATTTACCGAAATATTACCTTGTTCTATAGAGTTAACATTTAATGCTAAATTGGTATACTTGCAGATGGCCGAGCTCGTATCACAATGCTGCACTGCTTCTAAGCACTGCGATATTGATGTGTCAGTAGTTTCTCCACATTCAATATAATCTTCAGGTAGAAAATCAGGGTCAAAATCATCATAATCATCACTATCACTAGTCATCATGACTTAGTTGGCCATCCACAGACATCATATACGCTTCATCCGACAGCTTAGACAGTTTACATTTTCGGTGGTTGTTTCACTTTTGGAACTCCCACTTCTTTTTTATCCATTGCTAACAAAATATAATTGAAAATGTCGGTATATTTAGAAACAAAAAAAACTTCGAAACGTAAATTTATATGAAAGGTGTTATACGTTGGCAACTTCTCGCTCTAATCCGCCATCTTGCACTACCTTAGGAGAAACTGTGTTGTTTCTTTGCTTATTATTATTATTACAATTACTGGACATTGGGAACGGAAAGCTGCCAGTCAATGAGTGATTAAGACAAATTTTATGGCCTGATAAACCAGACTATACTTTCCCTGGCTTGCATACACAAGCCACTTATAGGTTAGAATATCTCAATGTGATAGAGCAATTCTGTGGCCAGATTTGAATTCAGCGCACCGAAAACCTTCGGGAAAGTATAGTCTGGTTTCTGGGTAAAAATTTTGTCGGACTGTGTAATTTTTGTTACTTAGAATCATCGAAAGCAGAACTGATCGAAGGAATGTTTCTTTATTAAGAAAATTAATTATAGGAATCACGATTGGCTCAGTGAACGGACTATTCTTGCTTGCGAAGAATAAGGATGTCTATCAACTAGTAATAACAGTGGTATTGACAACAGTCGTTGCTTGGCCTCTTGTTTACTTTGGTGAATACCTGTAATATTATTTAATCCAGCATTCAACGTGAGGAAATAGAATGAATATACGTCGATAAACAACGTTGTGCAAAAAGACGCTTCAACGGAATTTTTGAACTCGATTGATCTTCGAGGGAGACACCACATACTGAAATTGAAAATAGGTGTGCAAAACTCTGCAATTGCACGCGACTCGCAGTTAGGAAATTGATGAAGAACGTAGTGTAAGTAAAGATTTTTACGTGGCCTTTCAAAGGTGAAGAATTCCCATGATTCCGACCGATACACCATTTTAATTTAAAAAACTGCAATTCCCAATTCGATTGACATTCGGAATTCCAATCAATAATGCTCCAGGTCGGACTTTGGAAAAGTATGGCTTAGTTTTAGATGCGGATTGATTCTCAGATATTGCGTGTTCCTGTGTCGGCAAACCAGATATGCTTGATATCTATGCAGAGAATGGAAACACAACAAATATTGTGTGCAAACAAGTACTTATTACATAACCAAACACATATAAAACGTATGCTTTGTTTCGTTAATTATTTATCATCTGTATAACAGGAATATGCCACAGCACAGCGTGTTTCCTATAAATATTGACGATGCAACTGATTTAACGATCTATTGGTGATAAGATATGACCGTTTTTATATGAGACCAAATTTAAAATGGAAAACTATGATGATCGCAATCTTCCCGTTAATATTAAGAGCTTAGATTGCGTAAGTACTTTCTAGAGGTACCCAGGAACTAGTTTTCGTGTGTCGGATAAAAAAAAAATACTTGATTTTTTTTGACCCGCCCTAATGTGCACGCAAGAAAGGTTATTCCTTCACATGAACTTAGCACACAAAAAATTATGCACTCACCTAAATTTCAGTTCTGCGTGAACAGATATGCTCTTTGGTCAAAATGACCCACAATTTGTGTGCAGCTGTGCAAAATAACAAATGATTATCTACAAAAATTTGTGTTTTTTTTGGATTTTTTTTTTGCTTTAAAAGCCATTGTAGACACTTAACAGAGGCATTAAAAAAGTTGTATCGCAGTGCGACAGTTGTTAAGGTAAGTTCAGGACAGATTTCTTTCGAAATTCGGTCATTTTGATCTAATTTGTGCAAAAAGGTTAAGAGGGTTAGAGGAATGCTTCAATTTGGAAAAAATAAAACATTTCATATCACTTCTCGCGGAAACTCCGAAGTAGTTTTAAAATTTACACTGTTTCCTTCTCATGGAAACTGCGGAGTGCTGGTATTTCCTAAAGGGGTGTCACCAAACAAAGCACAAAACGGTTTGAATAAATATATCTGTGTTCGTATGGAAAAGTAGCTTATGTCGAAAGGTTGGCTTTAGTATAATGCGGCATTCCTTTTATTCTTTGAACGACAAGGAATTTTTTGATGAGACTTAATAAGAATATTGACTTGCTAGTATCGGAACTATTTCTTGCACGTTTATTTGCTAAAAGTTGTTCAACGGCTCAGCGCCAGCGAGTCATTCGCAATCGTATGCTGCAAATGCCGATTTATATTAAAGTCAGCCTTTCGACATAAGCTACTTTTCCATACGAACACAGATATACTATAAATGTGGTTAAAACACACTTTCGTGGCTAAATCACGTCTTCGAATAATCATATTTTTATTTAATATCAACTTGATTACAAAATACATACATATATACTAATCTGGACTATACAAGCATACATACATATAAATATAAGTATATTTACTAAATTCCGTTTAGCTGAATTCGCGTTGAAGGCAATCTCATAACTCACTAAATAACCCTTTACCGAATGTCAAACATTGTTGGTTTGTGCATAAATATGTAATACGGCAAATTTTTATAAATTGATTTTATGAAAAATACTAGGCTATTCATTTCAATACAGAGCCCAGTTTGTGAAGCAGAGAATACACTAAGCGATGGATAGCTAAACGGAAAGTATTGTACATATATTTTTGCATATAAAACTAACCACTATAAACATACATTTGTACATATCAGCGCGCAAAGTAATGCTGCTATCTATTGCAATTCGTATAAAGTAATTATAGATCATCTGCTAATACTGGACCACATTTCAAGAATTATGTACATTGTTAACTAATATCCTGGACTCTAATTAAATTAGTTTAAGAAACGGTTATAATTTTTCCAACACTACATCTGACAGAAATTGTTGAACCCTTTTACAATTAAATGAATTCTACCAAACACTACATTTATGCACAGGGTTCATAGGCGAGCCCTCAGGACACTTAAATTCCCTTGCAAAGTCTCTTGAATTCGATAGAGTTCCAATAACCCGAAATCGTCCAGGGCTATGTATTGCTGTATTAAGTTTATTTCGTACTGCCTCGGGTCGCATAGCGCCGCACCATACTTGGCCGAAATTGAGAAAGAATAGTTGCTCACCCGTCATATTGATACCTGGAAGACGCTCATCAGCAGCAGCCGCTGGATTATTTGTCAGCCATTCTTTATAGGCATGGAATGCTTGTCGTAAACCACCATTGTCGGCAATGTTTTCACCTGTAGAGTATAATAAGCATGAAGTAATCGTAAGTATGTACATATACAAACATATGTAGGCAAATGAATTGGATTTTTAAATCACAAATGTTATAAACTAAAACTTAGTATACATATTCCCATATGACGTTTTGTTGCACAACTGCTTGATGTTCTTTGACTTTTTAGTAAATATTTGGCGCGTAAACTTCGCACCCTTCGAATGGCAAATGGTTTTATGAGATGCCTTTTAAAGGCGGAAATGCACTCAGAGGTTAGCCATTGCCAGCCGGGGAGCATTCGCTGTTATTAAAAGGATTTTTTTTTTTTATTAAATACAACTTTCGGATAGTTTTTCTCTTGAATCTGAAAGCATAAGGATGTAGCTATTTAATATATACACTGAGGAAAAAACGCTTAGGAAAAGTTAATATTTTTTATTTGATTACCGTTTAAAAATGTTCGTATTTAAATATAAAAAAAATAGTATAATTAAATAATGAATTAAATGTTTTTTTCTTCTTAATTACCAAAGCATATGTGAAGTGCACGACATATTTTAAAACGTATATACTCAAATTTAATACGAGTTGGGTTGGTGCCCTTTCACATGCGTATTATTTTAAATTTAGCACGTTTTTTAAATTATAAATTTTTTTCCCTCAGAGTACCTAAAATATCCCTGCAGGGAAAGTTACCAGTTGTGAACTAGAATTCTACCAGTTTGCGTTTCAGCCCAACTAGTTCACGCTCAATATAGGCGACTGGTATTCTTAACATTGCGATGACCTACCAGACGACAATTGTCAGGCTATGCATCAGCATCTACTCGTAGAAATACTAGTAGCATCACACCTGTTGATGAGGTAGTCTGCCAGTTCATCCCCCGTGCAAAGCATAAGTATGCCATTTTGCTCGCGGCGCTCCAACAGTCGCAATGGTCCCAGGTTCAAGTCCAGGCGCAGGGAAAACTTTTTTTATTTAGCGTTTTTAGTATAATTTTTTAATTAAATTGAACAAAAAAATTTCAATTCCTTTGGCACAAGCATTTCTTCCCATATATATGCTTTATCGGCAATGCAATTAGATTTACAAATTTGTTATTTATATTTAAATTGAAACAATTATTTTTACTTACATTGATCTAACTTTAAAAATTTTAACCACCTCCGAGCGGTCTCGAACCTGAGATTTCAAAACCATAACCAGTAGTCTTCACGTGACGCCACAGCCGACATTTGTAAGAAAAGATACTATGCGTTTTATCTTCGGCTTTGGCAATTCAAGTCAGATGTCGTTCAACGCCTGAGTTCTTCTAAAATACCAAACTGGTAGGCACATACTAGTTAATGAACTAGTATTTTTTCCAAACTGGTTTGGCTTTTCAATGCAGGGAGTTATGAACGTTTCAATAGCGGACTGTTACATTAAAATTTTTTTGGAAATTCTTTTTAAAGCTGCTTTATATTATCGAAAAAGTCTGCTCTCCTTATATAATGTTTTCAAAAGTTGGTACACAGTTTCTTAGCTTAAGGATGGAACTCACGAGCTACGTAGTTATTGAACTGACAAAATTAATTTTGGGGTCAATATTTGCAAAAAAAAGGGCGGACTGTCACAGAGAAAGATATGCGATATGTTTTTAATGGCTTTTAGTGTGTTTTATGCAATAAGTAGCATGAATTCGGTATACATGCAATTAGAGTTACAAAATCATCAATGGTTGGACTATTCGATATTTTCGATAGTTATGGACTCACCATTCGATAGTATCGATACTCCTTACTACGGTACTATTTATATTGAATGTAATATTAGTAGAGAACAAGTAAAGAAGTAAAAGTTCGGGTGAAACCGAATTTTATATACCCGGCGCAGGTATCAAAAATTGTCGTTTCAATTTTCTCTCAAGTACCTTTGCATGATAAGCAGTGGTTTGTTTCCTCGATTTCAAACGTTTTCGATAATATTACGAATAGAATCATGTACAAAACATAGGTGTACCCATAAATTAAAAATAGGATCAGTCCAGCGCCTTCGTCTTGACGGAGCCACAGCCGCTAAACCTAAACGTAGAATACGTGGTATTATTACGATCACATTCAAGTAAAACACGATACACACATTAAATATTCGCTTTGATTGTATTGAATTGAATGTTTTTTTTTTTGTATTACTTTTTATATTATATTATCGTCGTCTTCGGATTTGTGCATAAGTTAGCTAAGACTTCTGAAACAGCTGGCAACCCTCCTAAATATAGTTCAGAAAACAAAACCCTTTTAAATCCATTCCATTTGATACCCATATTTTTGAGAATTGCTTTAGCTTATTAAATAATTTGAGTTTACCTTTTTAAACAGGTGGAAACCTACTTTAAAATTCTAAATATTCAAACTAAACCAGTTTTATGATTTCATATAACTTGGATATACAAAAATTTAATCCGAATTATCAAATAGGTGGCAACCCTATTCAAAATATTTCTAACTAACTACAGTATATTTTGCTTTGCTGCCTCTATGCTTAAGTGCACATTTAAGATACCTATCCCAAAATGCGCATCAAAAGCATTATTTTTAACATTTATAAGGAAACTGCTCCGATAGATGCATTCAACATACCTGCACATTGGCGATACCTGCCTTAAAAATTGTGCGACTAGTATCAATTATCAATGAAAGTATTACGTTTACCTGCACTGGCCCTACAATTACCTAATTTTACAACCTTTTATTTATTTTGCTCATCTCGCAGAACAACAAAAATGGCTATCAACTTATGTAGTTATATAGATAATTAGATAACATTCGGTAAAAATTTCGCTTGCAATAATTTCTACATGGTAAGTGCTCCGCCAATATTTGGTTTCATAGGGATTCGGATACCTTCCTCATTGAAGTAGTAAAGAAAATTCGCTTAAGTGCCTTTTTCGGTTACGTGCACAAGTTTTTCGTGCAAAGAAGGATGTGCAGCTAAGCAAAGTATACTGTACTACCTTCTTAAACCTCTTTTGTCTGACACCCATGTAGTAACAGCTTATTCACTTACACGTAGTTAAAATATAAAGCCTTTTCAAAACCATTTCGGTTGATACCCATAATGATATTGTAACAATTAATTTAACTTTTTAAATAATTTGAAAACAAAACTCTATTAAACCACATTTGTTTTTGTTTTGCCCTGAGGTATAGGCGCATATACAAATTTACAATTTCAATATAAACAAGTAAGAAAGTCTAAGTTCGGTTGGAACCGAACGTAAATACCCGGCGCAAGTATTAAATATATGTTTTTTCACCTTTCCGAAAGCTACCGCTACATGGTAAGCCGGGTCGTATCAATTTTGAGTAAATTAGCGTCCTTAAATTTCGAAATATTGAAGCTTCAAACATTTCTGAAATTTACCGTTATATGAAGAGCGGCCGTAACTTTAGTCCGATTTCAACAATTTTCAACGTTTTGCTTTTATGTGGTAAGCACAATAACCATACCGAGTTGGGTACAAATTGGTAGAACGGTTACCGAGATACTTACACTCCCGGCAAAAAGTATTGGCACGGCGAATTTTGCTCAATATATGCACCTATTTCTATTCTAATATTTTTCCGCCAATTTTTTATAAAAATATGGTTCATTCTACAACAAAAAAAAACTTTGTGCTAAACTGGCGAAAATTATATTAATTTTCATGCAAATTTTCAACTTGAATTTTCTTGAGTATGCAGTTTTGTAGCCCAATAAAATATAGTTTAACAAAATGCAAGTTCGGAGTTAGTCAAAATCGCATTGATTTTTGAGATTTTTTTTGTTGAAGGTGTTTTGAATTTTTTCCATATAAAGTATTTTCGAAATTTCTTTTTGTATGGAAGAGACTGCGAGAAAAAAATGCCAAAAGTCAACGGTAATTTGTAGCTACTTAGAACTTCAACTTTAATACAATAAAATTGATTGGGCTACAAATCTGCATACTCAACAAATTCTTAAAAAAATGATTAAAAAGTTCAAAAATTTGCATGAAAATTTGCTTAATTTTCATGAGCTTTGCACAAAGTTTAGAAAATATATTTCTATGTTTTTTGATGTGAAATTAATCATGTTTTTATAAAAAATTGTCTGAAAAATTTTGCAGTAAAAACTGTTGCATATATTGTAAAAAAGCAGCCGTGCCAATACTTTTTGCCGCCAGTGTATATGTGATCATAAGTGGACGGTGCCACGCCCATTTTCCAAAATTTTATCATAAGCGTATTTCTTGGTAAAGAATTGTTGCAAGCATCAATTTTGAATAAATTAGCTTTAATATTTATTGATTTATCGAAGATTTCTTATTTCTCTAAATTACCGTTATATGGGATGTGGGCGCGGCTATTGTCTGATTTTAAAAATTTTCGTTCATTTCATAAGTTATACCAAGCCAATAACTGTTTGGAAGAAATTGATTCAGCGGTTACCCAGATATACGCATGTAACTATAAGTGTACGTGGCTACGCCCATTTTCCAAACATTTATAATATTCTTATTTTTCGACTAAAAATTATTGTAGATATCAATTTTGAGTGAATTATCTTCAGTAGTTACTAAAATATCGCATCGTGAAATAACACAAACGGCAATAACGCAAAATTTGCTTTATTTCACTTTTAAATGGAAAATAATATCAAAATCTGAGTTTTGCTTTATTTCCAACAAAGGTATAATTAAGCCATTTCATGGAACAACCAAAAGTTTCCGTTCCTGTTCGCAGCAGAGAATATTAAGGGTATTCATCAAACCTTATAAATTCATTGTATAAACTTATAATTGTGTAAACCTTATAAATGAACTGTCAAAATTTGTATGGAAACTCGTTTACACATTTCTGATAAATTTCTCCAGCGATTTCACTGAATAAACTTGATAAACTGAAGCTAATGCAACTTGGGCATTAATCGGGATCCGCATAAACTGATAGAGATCTGGTTCAATTATTATCCGTTCTGTTTGTTTTGTTTGACTGATAATTTGGCTGTAAAGTTTGGTAGCCGTGACAAATGAATTCATACATAAACGGACATTCTGCC